TTTATATTATGTTCCTGTGCTCCGTGGTGGTTCTTATCACGCGTCACTGCTGCGCGGTCGACAGTGTCGTCAGCTGTTGTGTACTGACCACCCAGTGCGTGTGTAAGACGTGTTATCAATGTTGTTGTGTTCAAGTGATTGCAAAAATCCGTTCTATTAAAATTCTTTTTCAAAGTTATGTGTCACCAAAAGTTCTGGTTTTTTCTTATACTTTTGTTTTGTTGTACAGGTGACACTGTTATTCCGTGTTGTAATGTATTAGTGTGTTACCGTTAAAATCGGCCAGCTTTAAAAATGTTCTTTTTCTTTCTTTTGCGGCTGTTGCCCAGGACGGTTGTCTCCATTCGTTTTCTTGTGTTTTTTATTTCATGTTTTCAACTACGTTCGGCTGCTGCTAAAACCACATTGTTAGGGTATTAGTTTGTGATTTGATTCTGGTGAGCATCGTTCGCGCAACCTTTGTTACCCTTTTATTAATTGTTTTCCTGTTTTTAGGGTGTCATTCCTCATCAGCGTCACTGTGAATAGTGTGGTTTTGTGTTTTGTTCTATACGCAGCGGCAATCATTGTATTCTGTGAGTTTCTTCGTTGTGGTACAGCTAGGTGGTCGCACGTGTGCGGGTTGTAATTATATTGTTCTTACCTACGCCCCCGGCATGGCTCGCGTGGGATGAAATCCACCACTTAGCTTACCATAGGTGAGTTGTGTTTTGTGTATTAAGGCCGACGGGCCTATATACTTTTTGAAGATAAAATAACCTATGTAAGTTCCTGTAAATTTCTAATGTAAAATAAATGACAATGCCAACACAATTGTATTTTAATTAATAATACTCAAACAATTAATGAGCAGTACTGATAGCGCCACATTGTGTTGCCTATCCACTAAGCCGTGAAGGCAAATTTTAATAAGACTTTAAAGGGCCAAACGCGAGCCATCAACCACATACTTTCTTATGTAAGAAATACATTTTATAATTACCCTGGTATCACTATATAATCACTCTCATAAAAGTTTAATTTAACAGAATTTACCTATAAAAAATATTTACTACCTACTTACCTAATTGGTTATTGGCAATCATGAAAATTGAATAATATGACCTGCAACTATTTTTAATATCTACTTAAAATTATAATTTTTTTTATGTTTGTTTTAAAAACCATATTGAAGATATTCAAACTTTATCTTCGACAGATGTTAAATGTCAATGGTCAACGCTGAAACACCGTTCTTTGGAGCAATACAAACCAGTTCCAATTAGTATTTATATATTTTTATTTTTTTTACTTTATTAATTTACTAAATAATATGTTCCTGCATGACTAGCTTAGGCTTTATCACCATTTCTTCATTAACAGGTGAATTTTGTTGTGTAAAAAATGCTTGCCGCATAGCTTGTAATGTTTCTGCTACATCAAACTTTGGCAGTCTAATAAGGTATAACTTGTGTGATTGTGAAATTAATTGATGCTTAATAAAAATTGTGTTGAAGGACTGTATTTTGTTTTGTTGAAACAATAGTCATAGACACAAATTCACATAACATAATATTGTATATACATGCAAAAGGTCATGGTGTTGGGGATATAGCACAACCCCCCCCCCCCCCCCCTGAGCACTCTCTGATACTTAGCTATTGTATATTTATGTTAAAACAGTTATTTTGATATTGTTGTTTTAGAAGTGAATTTATATCTGTAAGTGCGAATTCTGCAATAGCCACACATAGTCAAGGACGCGGATGTTATAAATCTAAAGAGCAAAGCACTGAACTTATTCTTAAGAGTTCTAATTTATTTCCTATAACTGAACATAAATTATTAACTCAAGTTCAAGAACATCCAGTATTAAACTTGGGAAGTTGCTGTGAAAAAACTTGGTCTGCCTTGGAAGAATACAATTTGGACTACATACGTATTACATCAGAAACAGACAAATCATTTTGGCATAAAGTTCGCCAGTTTAGAATTACAGGTAGTAGATGTTATAAGTTATATACATTTAATCAGCGACCTAAAAGTGATGAAGAATGGAATCAACAAGCTATTAAATATTTCTGGCCAAAAATGTTCAGCAACAAATATGTAAGACATGGGACTCAGTATGAACCAGTTGCAAGGGAGTTATATGAAAAAAAAACTGGTAAATTAGTAATGCAGTGTGGCTTTATAACTTCTAATAAAGCGAGATGGTTAGGTTATTCACCTGATGGAGTTGTTTTAGATAACTTAACAAATACTCCTATTAAATTGCTAGAAATTAAATGCCCTTTTATAGGTAAAACATTTGGGTCTTTAGATTTATTAAATTCTATCAAGTTCATTGTTAAAGATACAAAAGACAATTGGGTAATTAAAAAAAAACATGCTTACTATGCACAGGTACAGTTGGGTATGGTAATGTTAAATGTTACTAGTTGTGACTTTTTAATTTACAGTAGTTTTGATGATGATTATCATGTTATACCAGTCGAATTAGATATACATTTCTGCAAAACTCTGTTACTAGATTTAAAATTAATTTATTTTGAAAAACTGATTCATGAAATTTGCAATACTAACTTATAATTTTTACATGTTTAATAAAATTATATTAGTTTGGCATTGTGAAATGTGTTGTTATCTTATAATAACTATTAATTGTAAAATAATTAATAACCAAAAATATATTAATATGTGATCTAATGTACAACAGAAAGATTTATTGCTTACTTATTTTTGTAAGTTCCCAAAATTATAATTTTTGTTTGTATTTATATTTATGATGTGGGTAAATTGTGATATAATTTGATTAATTTGTGAAAATTTTGTCAATTGCGTTTATTAAATATCTTGTTAAATAAAATTGTTCAAAACATTAAACTACATCTATTTTATAAACTATATTACTATTTACAAAATTTATCAGATGAAAATATGGGTGAACTTAAATTGCAAATACCACTTATTATTATCATAATGTCGTGCGCTAAGTGAACATGGCCCCAAGTAAATTTGTTCTGTAGTATTTTAAATGTTTTAAGTCTTTGATTCACTCTTTCTATGTGTACTCTTGCACTTGCTATTTCTCTTGTAAGAAGGGCTTCAGTTTTAGTAAATTGAGATTTTCCTCTTAAAAAGGGTGGTCTTATCAGAGTTACACCCTTTTCGTTACAAATATCATCAATCCTAAATCCTCTATCTACCATTATAGCGTCTGATCTATCAAGTAATTCAATCAAATTACTTTGTTGAAATATGACATTATCAGAAGCCCTACCCCCGTAAGGCTTACTGACAAACGTTATAAGACCTGCAGGGGAAACACCTATTAAAAACTTAAGTGTGAATTGTGACTTATAATAACTATATAGTTTGATTTTACAAGACAAGCATTTTGGCTTTTGAGCTGGTATTTCAGTGCAATCTAAGACCACCCTTACATTAGAAAAGTTTTTGAAACAAAATGGAATATTGGACAATATTTCATCTTTGGAGGGCCAGTAAATCAATTGTTCAAATATTGTACCAAGTAGCGGTAAAATAGTTAAATAAACTTGTCTACAAGTTGATAAACTAATATTTTGAAAAAAAACCGATAAAACAGAAAAAGAAAGATCTTGTTTTAGTTTTATAAATACAAGAACAATTCTTTCTTTAATACTTAATTGGTGGGCTCTGACATCTGGGTATTGCAAAGAAAACAACTCCACTATTTTATTGAGTATTTGGTGAGAAGGGATTCCTGTCATTGTATTCAGCTTTTTATTTGAATCTAAAAGTAAAATAAAATGAGATGACAGATCACCACTACACACTTGGGCACTGAAGTCTCTTGTCTGAGTGAAATTAAATTGTTGAACTTCATTAGTTAGGTTTTCTGGAGTACTGTTTAATTTGTCTTGAGTATCATTTTCTTCAATACATTCAGCAACAGGGTCTTCTGAACTTACAAAATCCAAACTTTTGATTGGCTACATAAAATATATTATGAAGAAAATAAAATTAACAAAGTATTTTGATAACTTATAAATTTAGTTATAATATATAGTTTAATTAAATTCAATGTTGTCTACCTCAATTAAAGGGGCTGATTTCTTAAAAGTAAGTCTTTTTTTAGGAGAGGATCGTTTCATAGAGGAACATAATATATGTACAGTTGATTTAGGAAGATTTTGAGTTGGTACTGAAGTTTTTAATAAGCGTCTTGATACCTTTGTAACACCTAGAATATTATATTATTATGTAATTTAAAATTTATTGGATCTTACAAAAACTACATCACACAGATCTTAGATTTTTTAAAGTTATTTCGGTATTTAGTGAAAATAGGCAAACCTGGAGTCGATTTATAAAAATCTTCAATGGTAAAATGTTTAGAACACACTTTTAATTTTTTTTTCAATGTTTTTTTATCCATTCGCAAATTAATGGCCCAGGCTCTTCGTCGATCAATGTATTCAATTATTCCATTTTTATTCGTCCAAGGTACAGTACATTGTTTTTCCTTAGGGAACCAATGAAAACTTACTGATTTGTCTTCGCAATAATGAGTATTACAGTTGTAGACAGAGCAGTAAACATTACTTTTAACTACCTTTGCACCACTCATTATAACATAATATAACAAATATTATTTGAATAAAAAATAAACATGAACAGTACAATAATTTTCACTACCTACTTTACCAATGACTTATGAAAACAATAATACGAGTACACAATTAAATTTAAATATTATTGATATAATTATTAAAATATTATTGTTATTTATTATAGGTTTATATTAATAGGTATGAGTTCGAGTTGCCTACCATATATTTTCATCCTGTCTTCAATAGTAGTGAGTTACACCACCAGGCAGCGTTTTCTTATCTACATCTCCCAATTGCTACATTAAATCCTCAGTGTACAAGTATTATTAATCATAAAAACGAACATAATCACAGTGAATATTCTGAGAACGCAGTACATAAAGATATTATCCGTAGTTCTGTTAAGAGAAAGGCCGTTGAAGAAATGCATACACAACCAAGTAAAATAATTAGACGAGAATTATTATTAAAATCAGATTATAATTTAAATCATGGTGACATGCATTTGTTACGAAATTCAGTGTATGCAACTAGAAAAAAACATTTCCCAAAACTCCCAAATACTGTTAACGAGGCTGTATTACAGCTGAAAGAATTCCAAGTTAAATTTAAAGATAAACAATTTATGTATTTCAGTGACGATAATAGTGTAGGATTGTTTACATGCTCAACAAATTTGAGTGCATTATGTGATGCTCCACATGTATTTGGAGATGGAACATTTTCTTATTGCCCAAAATTATTTACACAGCTGTATACCATTCATATTTATCAAAATTATTTTTACGTACCAGTAGTATTTTGTTTTTTAGAAGATAAACATACGTCAACATACACAACTATGTGGGAAGCACTTCAAAATCTTTGAACTCACATTCTCGATCGGCAACTTATTATTAAAGAATTTCATGTTGATTTTGAAAAATCAGCTCAAACCTCAATTTTAAATGTCTTTCCACAGTGTAAAATTGTATGCTGCACGTTTCATTTAGCTCAATCTTGGTTTCGCCGAATACAAAAAAGTAGTAAATTATTACGGGAATATAAAAATAATAATTCAGTCCCTAAGTAGGTAAATGGCTTAAATATTTTTTTGGTTTGCCGTACTTGCCACCCGATGAAATAGAAATAACATTTTCAAATTTAATAGCTATTGCTCCACCAGATGGATTATACTTCTCTGATTATGTTTTGTCATCATATATATTACCTAATTCAAATTTCAATACATCCCTGTGGGCAGGAAAACCAGACGATTTACCCAGAACAACGAATGGAGCTGAAGCATTCCATAGGCATTTTAATAATCAATTCTATAACCCTCATCCACACGTATACCAAGTAATAGATGTTATTTTAAGCATTCAATCAGAAACTGATCTTAAACTGAATTCAATAAAAATGAATATTAATTACTATCGTCAGAAAGAAATGTTACAAACAATTGAGTACATAAAAAATCTGTGGACAAAGTATTCAAATAACGAAATTGATCAATTGAATTACTTGGAACAAATGGGCAACCGCTTCCAAGGTAAATCTTTGAAATAAGTAGGTACCTAATTAAAATAAATATAAATAGATGACCGCTACAATAAAAATTAATTGCACATATTTTTTAACACATAGAACACCAAATATGCATTTTTAACTATACCAGTGAAGTTATTTATTCACTGACAGACCTAAGTCTGTAAAATTGGGTAAAAGTGGGAAGGAAAATGTGTGCGCAAACCAGTGGTTACACTAGAAATAATCTGTGCGCAAACGAGTTGTAAAAATGTGCGCAAAGTTGTAATTTTAGTAAATGTGCGCGCAAACCATGTGCACCCATTATTATAACTATCATAAATGTTTGAGTTTTACTATGAAAAATAAATTGAGCTCTGTTGTAATAAAACATGAACTTCAACAACAAACGGATTTAAAAATCAACAAATTACTGTTTACCAATTTAGCTAAAGGTTACATACTATTCTTATCATATTGTCTAAAAGAATATGAGTATGCTTCTTGCATATAAGTTACAATATACTGATTGATAGATTACCTACCTATTTAATTGTTTTTATATTATTTCATTTTAATAATATTCATATAAGTAGTTATATATCTATGAACATATACGTTTCGAGGCCACGCGCAATTTATCATAATGAATAGGCGCTTTGTAGGCCTCCCTCAATTATTATAAATATAGAGTTCTTGTCCAGGTTATTTATAATATTTAAATAAAGTCACAGCTCGCTACAAAGGAATACAAATTATTTTTCCTGCTGAAAATCAATCAACTTGCTTTATACCTTACTTTAAAGAAGGAGATATCGTCAGTCCAAATAGAGGCAAATTATTCAATAAATATTGTAATATTAAAAGACAAATCGTCAAAATAAATGCTTCAAATAAGAGAACGAACCTCAGTTAAATTCTTGTCAAGGTTATAAACTACAATTTTACAATATATTTAGTACCATAAAACTGGGTGAATAGAAACACTTATAATAACTACAAAATCCAATAATACTTTGGAAAGGAAATAACAAAACACCATATTAATAGTTATTAGTTACAAATTATTATCTTTAAACACATTTTCAAATTTCACTAATGTGTTTGTTGGTGTAATATAGTTTGGGTTGATTAAATTTAGAATGTGTTTTGATATTATTCATTGATAAGGAGTTTGCATTTAATTTATAGAGACAACAAATAAAAACCTTTTAAAGATCACTATAATTAAAAGTTATTATTAAAATTTGTTTCTATTCATCCATCAGTTTTATATTTTTTATGCGATTAATGTTTTTGTTTGAATAGATCATGAGGATTCTCTTATTTAGCTAAAAAATCAAATCGAACCTGAAAATGTTCTTCATAAACTCTGGACTGAAACCTCTGTGCATAGGCTTAAATTGCATAAGAATGACAATATGATGAACATATATCCAGCTATGAAAAAACCCACTTATCATTGTCTTGTTAGTAGTATTTATAATTTAGTTAATTTTTAAGCTTGGTACCAACCAACCAAAATAAATTAAATTAAATACTTAAATTACAATGTAATACAACACTAATACCATATTTATAGGTTGATATAGATTTTGCTCATCTGTATCCAGATAAAATAATGTGCCTCTTTCAAAAATTTGAAACATTCAAAAACAAGTTAAAAATATACCTCAGTGAAAATTGTATTAATATTGGTTCACAAGGGGTAGAACTTTCCAAAATACTTGAAACTCCTTTAAAGGCTGGCAAGTGTACCAATACCTGATTGTTATGATAAATTGACTAATGTTTTATTTGAAATTAAAAAACTTATGATTTTGCAGGAGATGATGATTTGGCTACATTCCAACTAATTCCATTTTTATTATCACCAGTTAATGTTGTTTTAAACAACAACAAAATTCTCAGACCATCAAAAATTGAACAATTGCATGCTTTTATTGTACATATTCAGGTAATTTATTATTATGAATAAGTAATATTTAATTAATAATTATTAATATTTGTACTTTAGGTTTCAGAATGTTAATGAACTGAAAACAACACAAAGACAAAAGATAGCTTCAGCATTAAATTTGGGTATAACTGTACAGCCATATGTCGCTGTTGTTGGAAACATTAACACGTTCAATGTCACGGTCGACACGTAGTCGACAACTGTCGCATGGTCTCAGGGACCGCAGTCGACGCGTAGTCGACAAATGTTATGTATATCTTTATGGGTGTATTATTTGATCGGTTATAGACGCACTGATTCAATATTTATACGTGGTTATTCAGTAGGATGTCGTGATTTCAATGGTATATTTGGATTTTGCGTAGCTATTTTTAGTGAGTTTTGATTATTTTTTCCCCGAATGACGATAACGGCGACGGCGCGCGGCGATGCCGATTACACGGGTGTGCTATTTTCGATAATATATTACTATCATATTATTTTCGTTGTTACAATAATATTCTAACGAAATAGAAATAGTTTATTGACGATTCCAAGCAAATATAGAGAGCGCTCTTCTCTTATCACAATTGATAATGAAATGTAGGTATTACTCTTTCCTCGTAAATCGTAATAGTCACCAGTAGTCAGTACTCAACACTTTCAAGTGGTTATAATATAATATTAAAATTATTCTGTAATTTAGTGGTCATTTTTTAATTATTAAATATGTCAGTAATTGAAATTATTGATATTATGGACTATGTAGGTGATGGTAAACGCCCGTTTGTTGAGGGCTCAGAGATATTGAAATGTAACCACATAATAGAATTTGGTATAAAAGAACAAGCAAAAAATAAACTTGTTATTATGGCTTTGTGTTTACAAACCTCCAACATTAATGGTCATCCTCATGAAGTTTTAGTCACAAAAACTATTCATGAAGGTAATGTGAAGGTGTCAGGTTCCTGCTCATGTAAAGCAGGCACGGGGAAGTGTAAGCATGTTGTTGGCGTTATGCTTAAGTTGCAGAAGTAAGTAAAATGTATTCTTTTTTTTCAAAAGAATTTAAAATTTGATATACCTAATAGTAAGTACGTACCTTATAATACTTACAGAACTTCAATTGACAGTTTGGAGGAATTGAGTTGTACTGAATTACGCCAACAGTGGGGGAAGGTTAAAAATATTGGAACTGAGATGTATCATACAATCCCAGTAAAAAAATTTTGTCATGTCCAAAAGTATACTTCTCCATATTCAGAAACTCTGCCAGATGTATTACCAAATAATATTGAGAAAATTGTATATGAAACTTTAACTGAAGGTAATATGTTGTTTCCGTCTTACAAACGTACAACATAGTAAATTTGTGTTTAGCTGAATCCATTTTGGTTGCTACTTTAAATTTTAAAGTGAATAATTGATCTATTAATCTCTAAATTATAAAATCTTAGTGGTTGAACTCAATGTGTTGAATTAGGTCCCAATATATCTGATAAGTTTAAGATTCATTTGGGTGCACCTCAAGGGGGACATTTATCATCCTAATGCTGGGTTGCATAAACAATTTATAAATTTAATGGACCAATCGTGGACCACTAAATCTTGTTTAATAGCTCACTATTGATTCATTAAATGTTTTGTGCAATCAGACATTACTGTTTTTATTTTTTTTTTTAATTAAGTAAATTCTCTTTTTAGTCACAGTAAATGTTTGTATCTGCAGTATTTGTTTGTATTTGTATTTAAAATTATATTCAGTAATTCATTATTATTTTTGGTATATGCTTTGTTTTAAATTTAATAACTTAGTTTACACTAATTTTTCATTTTATTTAAAA